GTGTGTGTGTGTGTGTGTGTGTGTGTGTGTGTGTGTGTGTGTGTCCATGTGGGCTTTCACTTTCTGAAACTTTGAACACATTCAGAGAAGAGGGGGCGGTGGAATCGTGAGAGAAACTTACAACTTAGAAGCTGCGAGTCCGAGAATGACAAACAGAAAGAAGAGCCATATAATCTGTGGAAACACAAGTGGTTCATTAAATCAACAAATGATTAACAAATCTGCAGCTACCGTTCTACAAAAAGCACATTGTATTCCTAAGTTCTGCCTGCGCAGTTTCACTTTTAGTGTTTTTAAAGACAAGTTTCTTAACCGAGACAGTTTTGATGCAAACTGGGGAAGTTGAAACATCAGAGAAATCCCGTTACCACTGGAATAAGAGTTTTTACTTCCAATAACTGAACGTTCCTGCTTCTCCTCCGGCTGCACCGACTTCCTTTTTTATTTGGTGCCGTTATGCGTGTTCATTTCTGTGCGGTTTTGTCTCCACGTTCCACACAAACTCAGGTCTTACACAGAGCGTGATGGTGAGAGGAGTCAGGCTGGGCTTCAGCAAGCAGAAGGCCAGATCCAGGTAGTTGATGAAGCCGTCCTCCATGTCGCAGTCAGGCGTCCTCTTCACGAACGCGCAGCGGTCCGTGATGTTGTAGTTCATCACGAGGTCACACTGCAAGTACGAGCAAACAGACAAAAAAAAAAMAAAACACCTGATCACCTGAACGTGTCGATAAAAGGTGCTAGTGTCCAAACAAAAGAAGGAAAAACGCAGACACAGCTTCATCGCTTCTTGTTTCATCGTTACGATTTATCAATGTGAAGAAATGTTGTCTTGATGGAAATTAAATGACATTAAACTCAAAAGTACAACACAAATACACAACAAATCTGCAGCATGTTTACTAGAAACTACTTTGTAGTACTTTGATCAGACAACTATTACTGAGGACAATGTGAGCTTATTGTGAAACTAAATCCTGTTGCAGTGGGTCTGCAGATCTTTTTGTTTTGTTTTGTAATCTGTGACTTTTTTTTTTATTTCCATGGGCGTAGCATCCATAGGTACGGGGTG